GAAGGCGGCCGCTGCGGTGGGTTGAGGAGGGGGAGGAGGAGGAGGAGGAGGCGGAGAAGGAGGAGGAGGAGGAGGGGGAGGAGGAGGAGGAGGAGGAAGAGGAGGAGGAGGAGGAGGAGGAGAGAGAGGAGGAGGAGGAGGAGAGAGAGGAGGAGTGACACGATGACAAGTTTGAGATGAGCATGAGGGGAGGAGGAAGAGAAGGAGGAGGAGGAGGAGGAGGAGGAGGAGGAGGAGCACGACGATGAGAGAGGGTGAGGAGGAGGAGGAGGAAGAGGAGGAGGAGCAGAGTGAGGGGGGAGGGGAGGATCCTGAGTAGCGTGAGAAGGGATAGGAGCATAAGAGGTTAGGGGTCGAGGGGCTTTGTTAGATGGTTAGGGATACGTTGTTAGATGGTGTCTTGAAGTCTAGCTTGGAGCCGAAGGCGGTTTGGCGACCTGGCGCCCGTCGCTGGGCGACCTCCGCGGCCCCCTCCACCGGGCCGTGCGCGGACCCCGCCGGTCTTGGCTCCGAAGGGTTCGCAGCTCCTGTGGTGGATCGCCAGGAGTTGCGAGGAGGAGCGCGAGGATCGGAGGTGGACAGACCTCCTACCCTGACACGTCGATTAAGGAATCGGCCGTTTTCGGTTCGCGAGAGGGCGTCGCGGCCGTCGTTTTGCGGGTTCAGGTCCGTCAGTTTCGGTCCCAGGCCGTTTTCACTAAAGGGAGGCTTACTAAAGGGAGGTTTGTCCACCGCCGAGAGGAGACGAGGGGACTGCCGAGCTTCGGCGCGCTGCGTCAGGATCCGAGGCCGGGGTCGAGGCAGGCGCCGCAGGAGCACTCGTCCCTCGAAGTCCAGACCTCCGACGTCATGATGCTTTGCATGGCGCGACCCCTGGGGGCCCGGACCCATTCCCCGGGACCGGTTTTTCATCCCGAGTCGTTTTCTGACGGCCCCGAGGTGTCTGCGCCACGCGCCCAGAGGGGGCCCTCAGGCCGGCGCACTGCCGACCCCCCGACTCGTGACCGCCAGGGCCCCCCCAGAGGGGTCGTTGCCTCCGAGGCCCCCGCCCGCGCGGCGTCGCTCCTCGAGCGCCGCCCGAGCCGCTCTGGGTGCCGGCCGTCCGCGGGGCGTTTCTTTTTTGGGGGGCGATGGGATTTTGAAATCGGGCGTGTCCCTTTACAGGGGGAAAATTCAAACATGGGCAACAAATCGTCTGGGGACGATGTTTTTGCTATCTCGGATTATTTTGGAACAGGTTTTGACTCTTCTCTTTTTTTGTCCACAATGCGCCTGTAGGAGGACACGCCCGACCTAACTCTGGAGCGTGTTTGCGGTGGCCCCCGCGGCACGCGCCTGCCAGGTTGCGGGCGTATCTCCTGCCATAGGCACCGCACTTCACAGGCACGCCGCCAGGGTCTGGGGCGGGAGGCCCGGAGCGGTGGCCCCTTGCAGCCCGGAGCCAGTGTGGAGCTGCTGCGGCTCCTGTGCGGGCAGCTCCTCGGACACTGCTGCCGTCCACAGCCGCGGGCCCACCGCCGGCGTCGGCGCGCGCGGCGCTGAGGCCGTCACCGACGACCACGCTCAACCTTGGCGCCGCCATCCTGCTGCTCTTGCGGCCTGGCCTCCAGGCCATCGCAGTCGTCGGTACGTTCCTCGGCCAGGACCGCGCGGAACTCCCCAAACCAGCGCGCGGCCTCCTGGGCGATGCCGTACAGCGTCAACGTGAGCTCCTCGGCCTCCGTGGGCAGGCCCTGGCACGCTGCACGGTGCTCGGCCCACGTGTCGGCGGCCGTGTTGCTGGCGCGCTCCCCGTGGGGTGTCCTCCCCGCCTCGACGTCGGCACGCGTGGCGTGGGCGAGGGCCTCCGTGGCCGCGAGGGCGCCGATCCCCAAGGAGCGCCAGGCGGACCCCCACGAGAGGGCCCGCCCGTCGCCTGGGAGTTCCCCACGCCCAGGGCGGGAGGGCGGACACGGTCCCGGCGCAGTCGACGAAGAGGTGGAGGTGCCACGGTGCCACGCACGGGAGCGCGACGACGGCGAAGTCCTCGCCGTCGCTGCGGCGCTGCCCGGGGCAGACTGGCAGCAGCACAGGCCCATTTATCGGAAGCAGCAGCTTCAGGGGCGCCCCAGCGGTTGCACTGCCCCCGCTGCCCACCCGGACTGGTTGATGCCCGGGAGGCGCCCAGCGAGAGCGGAGCCGTCCGTGAACAGTGCGCTCTCGAGTCGACCCGAGCTGTGCCGATTCCACCAATGGATCTCGAACTCCTGCTAGCCAAGAACGCTCCAGTTGTGCTGGGGGTCGGCGAAAGTGCCGCGTTCCTGGGGCCCTCACCGGGCCTCGGGACCGTCAAAACATGATTCGGGATGAAGAACCGGTCCCAGTGACAAGGTCCAGACCTCTGGGCGTTACGTCATGGAAGGCCATGATGTCGGGGGTCTGGGAATCCTGCCAACCTCTGCCCGGCAGAACCTGCACAACCCGCACGCTGCGAGACCATGGCGCCCGAGCCGCGATTGGCACCGTCTTGCCCACGAGGGCGCGGAGGGAGTTCTGCGGCCGCTTCGTCCAGTTGCGCGCCGACCCCCGCAGCAGCGGCCGCAGGGCCAGCCGGCCGACCGGCACCCAGCGGCGGTCGTCACGCGCCTCCGTGGCCTCGCGCGCCAGCGCGGCAGGCAGCCCGAGGCGCGCCCTGCGGCGCCTTGGGCAGCCGCCTGCCAGGGGCGCCGCGCGGGTCGGCCAGGAACTGCGCCGTCCTCGATCTGGCGCCCGACGGGCCCCGAACGCCCCGAGCGCGCGCGGCAGTCTCGCCCCAGCGGCAGCCGCAGGAGCACGCCGCCGCGCCGCAGGGCGTTGTCGTCGTCGGCGCTGCGCCGCTTTGGCAGCCGAGACGGCCCTGGGAGCAGCTGGGCCGCTTTGATGCACGATTCAGGCTGGCGGGGGGTGTAGGGGGTGTAGGGGGAGGGGGGGAGGCTTCTCAGAAGCGGGCTGCTTCAAAGAAGCCTTCCCGCGTCCTACAGCCCCCCTCTGCGCGCCGCCAATCCGAGCCATGGGTCAGGGAAGGGAGAGGTACCGACACCGCTTCTTGTCCAGGAGAGCCCGCCACGGCTGGACTCTCCTCGAAACTCGGGTGAGGACGCATTGGGCGAGAGGCCCACGGAGTAGGGGGATCGGTACATGTTGCTTACCCCTTTCGGCTCGAGTCGGGCATGTGCCTCTTCAGGAGGATATTCAAACATAATAAACGTTGTGGGACCATGCTTCCACTCATCTTGACTACTGTGAGTCTGGTTTGACTATGTTTTATTCTTCCTCCCAAATCTGCCTGTAGGAGGGCATGCCCGACCTAACATCAGGCCCAGCGTCCGCATCCGGCGCCCTGCGCGGCCGTGACAAGGGGCAGCAGAAGAGCACGCCGAGCGCACAGCCGCAGGGCTCTCCGCGGCTTGGGCCTTCCCAGGCCGCGCGGGCAGCGGCCGCGAAACGAGGGCGGCGCCGCCCCACGCCTGCGAGGGCCTGGGCGTCTCGCGCAAGCGCGCCCGCAGAGGAGAGCGCGAGAAGGCATGAGGCAAGCGCCGGCGACAGAGGAAGTGGAGACAGGAGGAGTATAGGACGCGCAGGAGGATGAGAGTTGCAGGAGGAGGGAGGAGGAGGAGGAGGAGGAGGAGGAGGAGGAGGAGGAGGAGGAGGAGGTGGAGGAGGAGGAGGAGGAGGAGAGGAGGAGGAGGAGGGGAGGGGGAGGAGGAGGAGGGTGAGGAGGAGGAGGAGAGGAGGAGGAGGAGGAGGACGAGGACGAGAAGGAGGAGGAAGAAGAAGAAGAAGAAGAGGAGGAGGAGGAGGATGAGAGTTGCAGGAGGAGGGAGGAGGATGAAGAGGAGGAGGGAGGAGGCGGTGGAGGAGGAGGAGGAGGAGAAGGAGGAGGAGGGGGAGGAGAAGGAGAAGGAGGATGAGGATGAGGAGGAGGAGGAAGGCTGATCATGTGAGTTGAGAAGGTGCCACAGGAGGATCAGCAAGAGGTCGAGTGGGCTATCCCATCCAGCCAATGCCCCCTCAACGTCTTGCCTTGCACGAGTTGAGGTCTCAAGAGCCAGGTGAAGGCAGCGCTACGCTTCAACCCCACAGACGTTTGTATCGGTTCAGCAGAGATTTCCTCGTCGCGGGAGCTTCACCTCTCCCCTTTTGCGGAAGTCACGCAGGATGGCCAAGATAGGTCAACGCCAGGGGGCCAGGGTTTCAGTGCTGGCAACGTGCGTATCCATCTCGTTCAAGATATTGGTGCGCTTTTTGCTTCCCGGTGGATGCAATTGGCTGTACAATGGCATGTGCTACGCGCCGCACTCGCGCACTCGCATACACATATGCATTGCTACAGATGGACGAACGGGCGAATCTGCCAGCATGGACCCCAAACAGTAAGTGATTGCTCTGTGGATGTGTGAACATTGTAGTGCAATTTGCGTGGTGCGAGCTGTGTGGTGTTTGCTCTGTGATGCAACCCATGTGGTGTAAGCTGTGTGGTGCAATCTTTGTGGCGGCAGCGATGCGACACGGGCGGCAACGTGTCGAGCCCTCGCAACGCCCACCCAGCGCATGAGGCGGCAACGGGGCGGCAACACGGCGACACGGGCGGTACTTTTGCGATTTCTCGGCGTACCCCCCCAGCTCACGAGGATGGCAACGGGGCGGCAACGAGGGGGCCACGAGGCAGCAACGAGGCTGACCCGGGTGGCACTGGCGCGGCACGGCCGGCAACGTGGCGAATCCTCTGCCCCACGGGCGGCAGCGGGAGGCAACACGCGGCAGCACGCGGCCACGAGGCGTCCACGGGCGGCAACGCGGCGAGTGCTCGGCACACGCCCACAGGCGGCAACGGGCGGCAACGTGGCGAACCTTCGGCATAGCGACACCGGCGGCAACGGGCGGCAACGGGCGGCAACGTGGCGAGTCTTCGGCATGCCATCACAGGCGGCAGCCGGCGGCAGCGCGGCGAATCCTTGGCATGCTCACGCAGGCGGCAGCGGGCGGTAACGTGGCGCATCCTCGGCAGACCATACCCTCACGAGCGGCAATGGGCGGCGACGTGGCGAATCCTCGGCATACCCACAGCGCACGAGGAGGCAACGAGGCGGCAATGGGCGGTAACCTCGCGAGTCGCCGGCATACCCACGCAGCGCACGAGTCGGCAACGACGAAGTGCAGAGGCGGTTCGGGGCGGCAGCGAGCGGCAACGTTGCGAATCCTCGGCGTACCCCTACGGGCCGCGGCGGGCGGCAACGGGAGGCAACGTGGCGAATCGTCGGCATTTTCCCACAGGCGGCAAGGCGGCAACGGGCGGCAACGTGGCGAATCCTCGGCAGACGTGCACAGGCGGCAACGGGTGGCAACGTTGCGAATCCTCGGCAGACCCATCCAATTCCGTAGTAACGGAGCTGAGGACTCCTAAGTGCAAGCAGCGAATCCTTGCCCTTGGCGAGCGTGTGCAAACATGGCTCGTGGTTGCGATGCTCTGTGCCAGCTGTCCCATCCCCAGTCTGCGACCCCAGGCGACTGCTGAAGGGCCCTGCGGGTGACCACCCTGTGGACCCCAGGTGTGCCACCACGAGCGCTCGCTGCTGGCTGTGCGCCGGAGAGGCCCGACCTGTATCGGGGAAGCGTCAGACTCGCGTGAGCCGGAGCTCGGGTTTGCCGACATTCTGTGATGAGGGCGTCCTGGATTTTGACGGTCTTGTTTTCGTAGGATATTTGCAGCGGGAGCTCGCGTCAAATTTCAGATTGGGTCTCGTTATTTTATCATGGCCCCGTCAGGCCAACCCGAGTCTCCCGTACCCGAGTCTTACGTCTCCTCGATGGTATGCGGGGGGGCAGCGGTGGGGGGTCTTCCTCGTTCTGCATCGCCCTTCTCCCACTCGCGGTCCTGATCTTCGTGGTGTTCCTGCTCCTGCTCCCGCCCCTGCCTGCTCTCTTGCGCCTCCGCATCCTCCTGGCGCGCTCCACCAGGCATGTGGACTCTGAAGATGCATTGTCAGCCTTGTAGGCTCGCTCGTGCCTGCGCCGTGGTGCCACGGCTCCACGCAGAGGGGCCGAGGCTTCGAGCGGCTCCGCCCTCCGCTCCAGATCTGGCCGCCGCTCCCCGGCCCCAGTGAGGACGTCGCGGCCGGCTCCATCGCGGCGCGTCCACGGCAGGGAGCCGACGACACCGTGATGCGCAGTCATCTCCCCTTCCTGCATACGCAGAGAGAGGTTTTCCTCGGAGCAGATTTCGCGGTTTTCCTCGGTTTGGTTTGTTCCTCGGTTTGGGTCATTCCTCGGTTTGGGTTATTCCTCGGTTTGTTGTTTTCCTCGGTTGGGGGGGTCTCGCCTGTGCTCCATCCCCCCCGCCCGGTGCCCCACCCCCCCTCCGACGACACACGCCTCGCCGTGTCTCCCCCGCCCTCCGCTCAACTCCTGCGGCCCTTCTCGGATGCTGCCTTCCCTCATCTGCCTCCCCGTTCTGCTATGGCTCCTCGCTCTACTCCGAAGAAGCCCACTGCAGACCTCCCGCCCCGCTGCTCCGTCCCCGCTCCGCCCCCGCTCCGCGCGCGCCAGACCTGGTCTCGCCCCATCCTTCCTCCTCCTCGGCCCTTTCTCGTCTCCCTCCCCTCCCTGGCCGTAACCGCGCCTCTCCTGCAAGCGCTTCTGCATCAGCGGGTTCCCTCCAGGCCTCCCTGACGGAGCAGGAGTGAACGGAGTTCCCAGGCCGCACCGACTCGCAGGTCATCGGAACTGCGGTGCCATCGGGCGGCCCAGTGTTCTCGGCCCCCCCCCTCGCGGATACCTCGGCGATGCGGCCGCGCGCCGGGGAACCCCCTCTGATCGCTGGCATCGATGGCTCCCTCTCCCCCCCCGAGCCCGTCCGAGTCCTTGGCGCCGGGGAACCCCCTCTGATCGCTGGCATCGATGGCTCCCCTTTCCCCCCCCGAGTCCGTCCGAGTCCTTGGCGCCGGGGAATCCCCTCTGATCGCTGGCATCGATGGCTCCCTCTCCCCCCCCGAGCCCGTCCGAGTCCTTGGCGCCGGGGAACCCCCTCTGATCGCTGGCATCGATGGCTCCCTCTCCCCCCCCGAGCCCGCCCGAGTCCGTGCCCTTCGTAGCCATGGCATGGCGGCTCCTCCGTCCGCACTCCAGCCTCTTGTCGGCGGCGAGGGCGAGCGCCACCGCGGTCGAGCAGTCGGCGGGCCGCGCAGGGCAGAGGCGCCCGCCCGTACGAGGCGCGGGCACGAGGAGGGAGCGTGAGCGAGGCCGAGCGAGGAAGACGACGAGCGCGAAGGGGAGGGTGACAATGCTGGCGTGGTCGGGAGGTGGAGGGTCATCGACTAGACGTAAGAGTGACCTTTCGCCGGAGTGGCCTTTGGTGCGGGCACAGATGGGTCCCCAGAGGGCTGAAAACGAAGCAGGAGCAACGACTTGCGCGCCCAGGTTTGGTCCCCACGCGGCTCCCAAAAAGCCGCGCACCAAAGGTCACTCTTACCCAGGGTCACTCTTGCGTGTAGCCGAGATCAGGCCTCCTTCCCCCATCTCCATCCGATGCACATCCGAGTGCTGGCTGGCCCCTCGTCTGCCCCTGCAGGATGTCGAAACGCCGAATAAACAAATAAAACGTTCGCTAGGTCGCTCCTTTCTTTTCTCGTACCTCTTGGCGTTTCCTTTCCTCGGCCCGGCGGTGGGCCTCGCGGGGGGGGGAACGGGTGGTGGCCGCGGCAGGGCCACGACGGCGCCGACTGCCCCGAGAGCGCCGCCGAGCGCCTGGACTACAAGGCGGCGCAGGCCCCGTGTGGCAGGGGCAGAGGGCGGAGAGCGGCGGGCAGGAGGGGGGGGAAGTGGAGGAGGGGCGGCTTGAGGAGGGTGAGGAGGGAGGAGTTGGAGGAGGAGGAGGAGGAGGAGGAGGAGGAAGAGGAGGAGGGAGGAGGAGGAGGAGGAGAAGAGGAGGAGGAGGAGGAGGAGGAGGAGGGAGGAGAGGAGGAGGAGGAGGAGGAGGAGGAGGAGGAGGAGGAGGAGGAGGAGGTGTGCGCACACCCTCAGGAGAAGTCAGTGACCGGGGTGAAACTGCCAGGCCTTGCGCATTCGCCTCCGTCTGAGCAGGCCTCGCGCGGTGTTCCACGGCGTGGCCGCTGCGGAGCGGGCAGGCCAAGCTACCCTCTCGATCGCTCGGAGGTTGGACTTGCCCGTCTTTCCAGGGGAATGAGTAGGAGGGATGAGGAGGAGGCGGCGGAGGAGGCGGCGGAGGAGGAGGAGAAAGAGGAGGAGGAGGAGTAGGCGCACCCCACCCCCGAGAATGGGCACCGCTAAGCGGTGTGTCGCTCCTGGGTTGGCCCGCGCCGCACGCTTGTTCAAAGACGATGGCAGCGTACGAACAGGTCGGGCGCCAAAGCCAGGAAGCATGGCGAAGCCTCAGAGGCAGCCAGGGGCGGCCTGACCAACTCCTAGCAAACCATCCCCTTCCGTGACGTCCCCCTCACCTCACCCCAAGACGTAGACATGCGGCCAGACGGAAGCTTGTAAGGCGAGGGCGACGTCACAGAAGGCGTCGGTCACGGTGTTGGTCGGTTGGGGCGCGCCCGAGGGAGCCGGCGAGATCAGAGGAATTCTCGGGCGCCACGGCCGTCCCACAGCGCTCAGAAATGCGCTCAGGGTTTTCTGGAGCAGGTTGTCCGCACTCAAGGCCGAGGAGGAGGGGGAGGGGAAGGAGAAGGAGGTGGAGGAGGAGGAGGAGGAGGAGAAGGAGAAGGAGGAGAAGTAAGGAGGATAAGGAGGATAAGTAAGAGGAGGAGGAGGAGGAGGAGGAGGAGGAGGAGGAGGAGGAGGCGGAGCTCGAGGAGGAGGCGGAGCTCGAGGACGGGCGCGGCCAGGTTGCCATCCGCGAGCCGCAGTCCTTCGCGCATTCGCGCTGCCTGCGCACGGGCACGATGGGGCAGCTGAATTGTGGGCCGCTGCCGTGCCCGCCCTGGGGGGGGGCGGGCGGCAGAAGGAGGACTTCGGCGGTGAGCGGCGCTCCGTCACGGGTTTCTGGGAGGTTTTGCAAGAGTCGCGCGCTGGAGTCCCGAGATTACTGTCAGGTCGGGCATGTCCTCCTACAGGTGGATTTTGGACGAAGAATTACAACTAAGGAACAACTCAACAAACATTTAAATATAGTAGAAAATCGTCCCTAGACTATTTTTGACTATGTTTGAATATTCCTCCTGTAGAAGAACACGCCCGACTTAAAGGTATATTAAGTGGGTATTCGTGGGTCTTTTCGGATGTCTCCAGAGGTCTTCGGTAATCTTCATCTTCGGCGGTCTTCGCAGGTGTTCGGAGGTTGTCGGATGCGCCGGGGGGCGAGCGGAGGGGAGGGAGCGAGGGAGAGAGGGAGAGAAGTAAGGGAAAGGGGGAGGCAGCGAAGGCAAGAGGACGGAGGAGGGGAAGTGAAGGTAGGAATGGGGCGAGGGAGGAAGTGGGATTAGAGAAGGGCTGCAAGTGGAGGGAAAGAGGAGGAAATGGAGCAGGATGACGAGGAGAGGAGGAGGAGGAGGTGGAGGAGGAGATTGGGACAGAAGGAGGAGGAGGAGGAGAATGATGGTGAGGAGGATGGGAAGGTGAGCCGCGTGCCACTGCCGTGCGCGCCTGCCGGGGCTGGGAGGGGGGGGGGGGGCAGGTGGGAGCGAGGGATGGAGGAAGAGGACGGGGAATTATGATGTTCCAGCCTGTCTTAGCCTGATTCACCAGAATTTCGAGCACCCAGAAAGTACCGATTCTGGAGGGATTTCACATGTCGGGCTCTGGGAAGCGATACTCGTCCGACACGGTCTCGATACTTTTCTGGGTGCTCGAAGTCATCTCTGGGATTTGGCCCTTGAGTAGGATGGGAGCAAAATCCACGGGGAAGAACACTTTGTGCTTCGGCGGCTATGCAGAGTGACTGCGCTGGCGGACGAGGCGTGGCGTGGCGAACGGAAGGGCACGCGAAGGAGGCCACCAGGCAAGGGGGGGAGGGTGGGAGGAGGCGCCCAGCGACGGCGGGAGGGAGATGGAGAGGCCGGGCCCGCTCACAGCAGGGCCAGGCGCGCGTGGCAGGGGCGGCGCGACGGGGGAGAGCGAACGGCGAAGAGCACACGACGACAACAGAGATGAGGTCGAGGACCGAGGTGAAAACAACGGCATCCACGCATCCACGCATTCACTCAAGCAGTGGCGAAGCGTCCTGGCTCGCCTATGGACCCACCAGAGGATGTTCTAAGAACCTCTTTGTGGTCTGCACGAAGTGTTCTTGGAATAGTACTGGCTGAGTCTGTCTTGTTTTAACACATCGGCCTTGTGTTATACTAACATTGTTTATGTTATTAGAACATGTTCGGGTTCTAAGATCATGTCGTGGTAGGTCTATGGAAATGCCGGGACGGTCGGCCCCTGCTCAATGAACGTCGTGGGATCCGGAGCATCATCATGCATGAGCGTCGTAAAAGAGCTGGTCGAGACGGTTGACCAAACGGCATCGCCCCACACTAGTTTAGGCGCATGGGGCTCGGAGCACCGACCTGGTTCACCACACTTTGATAGAAGGCGCAAGTGCAGCGGTCACGTTTCTCATGGTCTTGAAGTATTAGTTTACAACCCAATCGCATGAACCTAAACGAAGGGGCACCTTGGCATGTTCAGTCCTTTTTCAGCTGTAATCTGGTGCGCTTCATCCACTCGCTTCCTCGTATGGAAGATCCGTTCTGGTTGACCTGAACGTTTCCAAGTCCAGCCCGATAGGTTTCTTCAGAAACGCTACGATCGCCGATTTTACATTTGCCAAGTTCGAATTGTCTGGTCGTGATTTGTCTTCTCCTTCTTCAGGTGCAGTTGATGCCTGTCCCCACCCACTTAGAAAGGAGGACAGGATATAGATTGGCTCATTGGGGGAAGGCAGGACGGGGGACGTCGAATCTCGCAGAAGTTTGCAGAGACGCCATGAAGTACGAGTTGCACGATAAGCAGGAGCAGGAGAAGGAGGAGGAGAAGGAGGAGAAGTTTCGACAACGGGAAGTTTGAAGGACGATGAGTAACCGCTTCCCCCGGATGATAAAGAGTACCCCCCCCCTCACCCCCTGAGTGGTTATTATCTTCAGGTCTGCAGGATTTGATTGTGGAGAGGGGCGGCGAGGCTGAACTTGACTATCGCCGGGGGAAGTTGCGAATCGAAGTTGCTATCTTCTTATGCGGACTAGCAGCATTATCAAAAGCGCTGAGAATGGCAATGGAGGTCTCACCAAGGACCTCTCCTGCGCAGGCCAACTATAAGCGCGAGACTCGAGGACACCAAGAACAGTTTTGTGCGAGGATCTTGTTACACGTGCGCCCAGGATCATCATCATCATCATCATCAGCATCACCACCATCTTCATCACCATCACCCTCCGCCTCGAAAATCGTCGATGGTCCTCTCCAGACCCCGAACTTTATCATCCCCAGGGGTTTAATATCAGGTGTATGGGGTTAGGGGAATCCAGAAGAGGATGATGGAGGTGAAGATGAATTGGGGGGGTCGGGGGCGGCACAACCAACACGTCTCAGCGCGCCGAGAAACGAAAACGGACAGGCAAAAACCTTCTGATAAGATGAGATCGCGCAACTCAGCGAGATATAGAGGCCAATCGAAACATAGGCAGGAGGAGGAAGGGGAGACGCGGAGCAGCGGGAAGCAGCCGGAGGGACCCTGGCATCGCCTCGCTCCGTTTCGGGGCAACGACTGCAGTCGCTCCTCGCGGCAGGCGGGCTGGCGGGCTGGCCGGCCAGCCCGCCTGGCTGGGCGGCAGTCGCGCGCGCGCGGCCGGGGGCTGCATCGGACGGGGCTGGGACGAGGATGCCCATCGGTCGTCGAAAGTAGGTACCGTAGCACCCCGCAGTTGCAGATCCGATAAGCGTGCAAGGCCGGCGGAGGCGTCGGCGCGCTGCAAGGCTCCGATGAAGCCCACCGAAGGCGCCCAGATCATGCAACGAACTCGCCGCAGGCGCCGATTTTTTCGTTGAAGCAGTGCGGGTGGGCCGCGGGTGGGTCGCAGATGGGTCGCGTGGTGGGTCGCCTGTGGATCGCGGATGGGTCGCGGGCCACGTCGCGGGTGGGTCGCGGGTGATTCTTGGATTCTCAGCTTCCAATCTATTTTAGGCGCCTTCCCAATTCAAAGATCGAGTGGTGTTCCTTTTTCCTTTGTCTTCAGGGGGCGGGCGGAAACCCAATCTACTTCCGACGCCTTCCTACTTCATGGTTCTGCCCACTTCTTCCGACCGGCGCGTAACTCCTTTTAGAGCGCTCTGGAACGCTCTCACAGCGCTCCGGAACGCTCGGAGAAGGCCGTGGCGCCCGATACCTCCTCCAGAGCCGCCAGACTCCAGAGATTCCCGATATCACCCCCCACCCGATGTTGCCCTCGTCCTGGCTTCGTCTGAGTGCAAGGTACACCCTGGCCCCCGCGGACGTCGCCCAGTTCATGCCTGCGCCCCCGCCGCTGCCGCCGCTGTTGGCGCGCGCTCCGCCGCGCGCGCCCGCGCGCGCGTGGCCGCCGCGCGCCCCGGGAGTCTGTGCTCTGCTGCGCCCCTGCATTGCTCCACGTCCTCCTCTGCCTCTCCTCGGCAGGAGAGAGGGTGCCCTTGCCTCAAGTCGTGCCTGTCCCTCTACAGGTGGGGTATTCAAAACTAGTCAAAACATAGTCTGGCGACAGTCTTGTGTTTTCTTTGTGTTTAGAAGTTGCGCGTATATTTTGCATACTTTTTGGGGTGTGTATTTTTTTGCTCGTCCGAAATCCGCCTGTAGGGGGGCACGCCCGACTGAACCCGCGCCCTGCTTCGAGGCCGCGTGGGCCTGTGCTGTCCCGGGGCCACGTGGGGCAGCGGCCCGGCCACCCAGAGCACGCCGGCGCAGGGACATCTGGGGCGTCGCATACTGGTCGGGGGTGGACAGACCTCCTACAGTGACACGTCGATTAGTGAATTGTCCGTTTTCGGTTCTCGAGAGGGCGCCGTGGCCGTTATTTTCCAGGCCTGCGCCCGCCAGATTTGGGCCTCAGGTCGTTTTCACTAAACCACGTTTTACTAAAGGGAGGTCTGTCCATCCCCGAAATGGTCGGGGGTGGACAGACCTCCTACCCTGACGCGTCGATTAGCGAATTGGCCGTTTTCGCTTCGCGAGAGGGCGTCGCGGCCGTCACTTTTTCGGGTCCAGGTCCGTCGGTTCCGGTCCCAGGCCATGTTTTCACTCTAAGGGGAGGTTTGCTAAAGGGGGAGGTTTGTCCACCGCCGACACGCGGGGGGCGGTGCAGCGAGGGCTGGCAGAACAGGGGCCTGATTCAGGGCCCCCGACAGTTGGCCATTCGGGGCCCCAAAGGACGCCTTGAGGGTCCGCGAGGTGTACCCTTCTTCCCCCACCCATTTCAGGGGTGGACCTAAACGGTGTTTTGGCGATTTCGTGGGCCGTTTTCGTTTCGATCTCGTTTCGCGCTAAGGGCGGATTGAAGACAAAACGAGGGAACACGAAAACAAACCGAAAACGAAAAACGCCGTTTAGGCTCAGCCCTGCCCCATTCCTCGCCCCCCCCCCCTCGAGCGACGCCCAGGGCATCCCCACGTGGAGTGAGGCCATTGTTGAGGCTCCTTCTCGTCCTCCTCCTCCGCCTCCGCCCGTGGCGGCTCTGGCAGCACATCCACGTGGGGGTGAGGCCAGCGACTGCCCGTGCGGCCCGAACTTTTGCCTCGGTAAGAGGGCACGCAGTTCCTGCTGCAGCCGTGCAGGCGAGCCACCGTCGCTTGCGGCGTTCGATGCTCTGCAGTGGTGCGTCCCCTCGACGCTCCTTTCCAGGCTCCTTGCCGCAGCGCCTGCAACTGCTGGTCTCGCAGGCGGCCCGAACTCGCCTCGGCAAGTGGACACGCAGCTCCGGCCGGAGCCGTGCAAGCGAGCCACCGCCGCTTTCGGTGTTCGATGCTCTGCAGAGGCAGGCCCCCTCGACTGCCCGGGCTCCTTGCCGCAGCGCCCGCTACCGCTGGTGCCGGTGGTGACGTTGGTGAGCGCGGCGGCGACTGTCATGGCGGGAGCGCGCGCGCCCCAGGCTGGCGGCCAGGGTAGCGGGAGGAAAGGGGGCGATGAGAGATGCGGCGGGGAGCGGCCTGCCAAAATCGGGCGCACGAGTTCACATTCTCTCGTGATAATGATCTACTTGACGTGCTCACGAAGTTGCCATTAATTCTTATCAACGTCGTCGTCACTAGTAGCCTCTTACTTCTCCTCATCCTCTTTTTTGTTTCTTTATCTCTCTCTCTCTCTCTCTTCAGCCTTTTTTTGTTCTGGCAGTTCTGACATGTTCTATCCACCCGTCTCCGACACCTCTGCCCTCCGAAATCTAGCACCACTCTGACATCCACGAGTGGTATGAACAGGACGACGAGCACGTCACACGCGATGGACCGCATGATAGCGAGAGCGGCCCCACCCCGGGGTCCAGAGGCAGTTCTGCGACCGCAGGACGCGGCACCAGTGATGCAAGCAGTATTGATAGCGACAGCGACACTGTAACCCTCTCCAGCACGGTTGGGTCTGGCGGTGGTTCTTCGACCAGCACGTCAGCGAGCAGTGCTCCCAGCAGTATGGGTGGCAGCACGGGCGGGAGCAGCGGCACCAGCCTCACCAGTACGACCGGGGCCTGCAGTGCTGCTGACACACCTGCCGAGGAGCAGAGCGATCGTGAGCGGCAGCACCCTCCTCGTGAACGGCTTTTTGTTTCACCCCCAGGAGGCCAAAGGGCGCCGAGGCTTCTTGGACCACTCTGGGGTTCCCCCGACGGCGCGGTATAAGGCGGTCGTGCCTCGGCACGGGCAAAACATAGTAAAAAAACAAAAAATAAAAATATAAAAAAAACAGAAGCATATATAAAACACAGGCAAAATATCCTTCTCGTGAACGGATGGGACCAGCAGCGGCTCATCGAACGCCTCGTCACGAGCGCCAGTCCCGGCAGCAGCTCCCGAGCACGACGGAGAGAGCGGTGCCTCCCCGAGCACGCTGCTCCTGGGCCGCCGCAGCCCCTGCAGCCACGGGCGCCTGAGCCGGTTGGGCCCCGCGCTGGGTGCCCACCCGCTGGTGAGCGGCGGTTCGCGTGGCGCTGTGCTGCTGCTGCGGTTGAGAAGGGGGCCACCTGCGAACCCTGCCCCTACCCCCCACGGTTTCTGAGGGGGAGGGTGGGGTTCACTTCGTTCGGGAGCTCCCGAGCGAAGTGAACCCCACCCTCCCCCTCAGAAACCGTGGGGGGTAGGGGCAGGGTTCGCAGGTGGCCTCATATTGAAGGGGGAACAACTGTGCATCAGCAACGCTCCGACGACAAAGAACCGAATTTCCCCCCCCCCCCTCCCCCTGTCCTTACTGTTGGAATGCGCTGCGATCGAGATCTTGGGTTCAGAGTCTTTCCGGCCGCTCGTCTCAGGGGCCAATTGCTCAATATCAAGGCCGGGGGGTGCGGGGGGGGGGCGTATTCGAAGTGGTCCCCCAACTCTTGATGCGAAGCTTTTTCCTTCAACGGTCGCCTCCTCGTTCTCCACCTGCCTGTCCATCTCTTTGCGCGATCTCAGTTCACCCGTGTTGAGTGGTGACGCCGTTCTTTCCTCATTCCGAGCATTTTCTTTGAGTGGAGGGCAAAAATGAAATCTGAAATGCCGTTTCGATGGATCTTCAAGGTTTGAATCTGCAAAAGGTAAATCACAAGACGGATTGATTTTCGAGGTGCAAAGGCCCATATGTATTTCACCCTGAGCCCTCCACCCCAAGAAAATGCTCAGCTCCTGGTGCAGGCGTTTTCGCTTGAGCGGGGCGTGCGCGCTACGCGAAGACTCCCGTCAAGGACAGCCGCTGGGCAGGCCTCGGTCTTCGACCGAACACCCACGCTTTACACGCCCGTACTGTTCACTTGTCGTGCATCTGCGTTCTGTCTCTGCGCTCTCTGCTTTGTGTCCGAAGTCATATGTTCGCTTTTTCTTTGGTGTATTGCCGTGCCAGTAGGGCATTGCACTATGACCTGGCGTTATGTGTGTCGCCTCCCCCTTCCCCCTCTTGGCTCCCTGCTCCAATGTCTGCCACCCGTTCCTCTTGTCGATGGTCCAGTCTGGGCGGCGTGGGGCACGAGCCCTCAGGTTGTCGAGCGCTCTTGCAGCTCGCTTCGCAGTTGTGTGCGAGGCGGTGGAGTAGCCCATGTCGCTGCGCGCCCACTGGCATTGGAAATTCTAGACGCTTCGCGTAACCCCACCAGTTTTCCGCCCGCGACCGCCCGCCGCCGGCGCTTCCGCCTGCGGCCGTAAAAAAAAAAAGTAATCCCACCAGTGGAGACGGCGGAGGCTCGGGATGTCGACCTTGACGGCAACGACAGACGACCACTTTCCGACCAGTCACACTAGCGACTCCCCCCTCCAACTGTGGCAAGGAGTACAGCCACTGTTGGCGCTACAGTCCTGCACAAGTGGTACTTCTTTGGCAGGCTCCTCCTTTCCACGGCGGGCCCGGCCCACTTCTGTGAAGGTTGTCCCCCCAGTTCCTGTGACGGAGTACGCTCACCCGTGGCCGCAGCGTGGTGCGCACACGCGCGCCTACCCGCTTCCACCACCACCTGCGGGTGGGCCCAGGTATGGCACACTCCTGCACAAGTGGTTCATCCTTTGGCAGGCTCAGCCCTTCCACGACGGGCCCGTCCCGCTGCTCGACGCCGACGACCTTCCCCCCAGACACGCCCCTGGCAACGCTCTGTTGGGTCCTCGGCAGTCTGTGTCGCCTGGCAAACCTGCGCCTCTCCTTCCTCCAGTATTTACCAGATTTGCGGCTATCGGCTGCGCCTCTCCCCCCCTCCTCCACGTACGCTGAGGTGCTGAGCAAGCCAGTCGGCTTCCCCCCAACAGTGCTACGTTTTCGCGCACGCTCCGAAGTGGTCACTCCTTCCACGCGGCAGGGTGCGCCCGATGGGGCACTGGCAGGTGGGCCGTGGAGGCTGGCTTCCTGTACAAGTGGTGCATCCTTTGACAGGGCTTTGCTTCCTCTTGGCAGGCGTTCTTCGGCATCCGGCTATGCCAGCGACATCGGCCCCGTCCTCTGGTTGGATTCGTCGCTCGCGGACGCCTACGACGCCCTGCCCTTCTGCGGTGTTCAGGTGGTGCACACCTGCCCGCAGTCTCCCCCAGGCGGGGCCTGTGGACGCCGGTGGCTAGGGCTGCCGTGGTCCCACGCGACGTCCCCCCAGTCCACGGACGCAAGGGTGTTGCCACTCGGGACTCACGACAAGACCACTGACGCCTGGTTCAGAGACGACCTGTCTTCGAGCACATGAGGTGCTCTGTGAGTGAGGCTCCCTTTGCCCCCTGTCCCGCTCTCCCCCCTTTTCCCGCCCCTGTCCGCCCCTGCTTCTCCCTCCGCGTTCCCCCCCGGGCTTTCGCAGGCCTGCGCCTCGGGAGCTGGCGCCGCTGTGCGACCTTCCGCTGGCCTTCGTGTCTGCCGCCG